CTCTCTTGCCAAAAACAAAACAAAAACAAAACAAAACAAAAAAAAAACAAACAAAAAAAGATTTTCACAGATGAGGAAGTTCACATTCATTCGATTCATTGAGCCTGCGGAGAGGGAAGAGATAGGAATTGGTCACTACCAGGGGAAGGGGAGGAACGGAAGAGGAGACTAAAAGGGTCACCAGGACGGGATCAGAACAGCCTAAGGAGCAGTGTTTTTTTGGGGGGAGGGAAGAGAAGAGAGGAAGGCAGGGAACTCCCCCCAACCCTGTGGCAAATGCAGAGTGAATTTTTGCAGGCCACAGGGTGGAGTTCAACTCCCTAGGCAAGTGCTCCAAAGTACGTATTTGAAATAAGACTCTCTGGCTCTTTGAACAAGAAGAATGAGAAACAACCACATAACAGGCAGGAAGAGAGAGCGCGAGATGACTTCTCCTTCTTGGGGTGCACCCTCATTCGGAGGAGGGCGATTCCCGGCGCTTTACAACAAACATTGTTCAAGATCATGGTGTCCCCACAACACCCCTGTGAGGTAGGTTTGAGGGTGGCAATGATCGTCATGCCCACTTCCACAGACAAGACCAGGATCAGGATCGGAGGCGCGGGCACAAGAGTGACAGAAGGGGGGAGAGAAAATTCGCAGAAGAGACTGAGCCAAGGCGGAGTGGGGACAGGGAGCAGCAGCCAGGGAGGGGCAGAGAGGGAGACCTTGGGCCCCTCCCTGGGGCGGTCCCCTCTTCTCCGCCAGAGATGGCGCTGACCCCGGAGAGGGGGTGCCTGCAACACACACAATCACTCAGACTTGGGGTAAATGATCATTGATAAAAAAATAATAAATCCATAACCTGGGGGAGGGGAGGAAAAAGGCTTTTTAAAACTCAAGTGGCCAGATTTACAGATTGAGAGAAAAAGAGACAGAGTGAGTGAGAGTGAGTTAGTTGGCTGGGATGGCAACCAACATTCAAGCTATCTGCCCACCCCCCACCCACCCCAGGACCACCCACCAGTTCAAAAGTTCCACCTTGTATTTTTTTCGTGCTCTCCCCCAACATCACGACAGCGTTACACAGGAACAAGCAGGCTGGCGGAGGGAGGCCTCTTCTGTTTAACCTCTGGGCCCAGCGCACATTGTCCCCTGTCTCGTGGGGACTCCTGGAGACCTCCGGCCACACGGCCCCCGATGCTGGCATCAAGGGCACACCCCGCAGGGGAAGGGATTTCCGGCGCTACCCACTAAGGCAGGATGGACGGTAGCCGGGGGTTGGAAGGAAAAAGGAGGAGGAGGAGGGTGGCAATTCCCACTTGCCTGCTGTCCCTGCTGTGTGGGTGGTGGCTGGGGGCCGCCAGGACCAGGGGTCTGTCCGTAGTAGGCGGCTTGCTGTCTGTAATATTCGGCCCAGGCAGCACTATAGTCAGGCTGGGAGCCTGGGGGGGCTCCAGGTCCACCACCAGTGGCCACTTGCGCTGTGGTTGGGAAGGAGGGCGAAGAAGGAGAAAGTGAGTTCCATTTTATCAAGTCAGACCTCTTTTCCCTTCCAAACCCAGAATGCAGCAGGCACCAGCTCACCTTGTTTCTTATAATACTCCTCCCAGGCTTTTGTGTAATCCTGTTGGGGGGGAGCACCAGGCTGCTGAGGCTGTTGGCCTGAAGAAGAATGAAAAGATGGAGACCATCAAGGTCATGTCTCTTGCCAAATAGGAGACTCTTGGCCACAGGAAAAATAGCATCCATATCAATCTATTCTTTTTGCTCCCTTGGTCACTGATGCTTCTCTTCCCCTTGAGAGGCACCCAATTAACCCTATCTTCTTTCTCAGTGATCTCTCCCCAGTCTTACCTATTTTTTTGTAATATTCTTCCCAGGCTTTAGTGTAGTCTGACTGTCCGGTAGGTGGGGGCTGTGGGGGTTCCCCCTGGGCAGGTGGGGCTGTGGGGGCTGGCGCTGGACCTGGCACAGGGCCTGGAGGCTGCTGGTAGTAGTGTGAGTAGTAGGCAGCCCAGGCAGCATTAGGATCTGCTGCTGCAGCTGCTGCTTTATCTGGAAAGTAAAGACAGAAGTTGAGAGAGAGGATACCAGTGGGGATGTAGAAACTGAGCCTCCTTTCCTTCTATAGCTGCTAATTACTTACTTGGGTCATGAGGAGCAGGTGGCTGCCACTGTGGATAGGTATTGCCCCAACCCTGGGGTGGGTACTGGTGTGGAGGAGGACCTCCCGCACTTAAAAAAATAAGGAAAAAGGTACTGATGAGTAACAATGAAACTTGGCTTTTGCATCAAGGGTGGGAAATTGAGATGGCAGGAGATTCTGGATCTATCAAAAAATTGCTGTGTGACTTCAGGTAGGTTCTTTTATTAGACGTACATTTTCTCATTTACACAACGAGATCAATGGCTGGAAGTTACAGAGACCAATTTTGGCTAGATACAAGGGAAAACATGAATCTGACCTGTCAATAAATGAAATGGCCTACCTTACTAGAAAGTTTCCCATCTCTAGGAATTTTCATACAGAAAATAAACAGCCCCATACTTGGGACATTGCCAAGCCAACATAGTACACCAATAAGGAAAAGAACACTGGGCTTACAGTCAGACCAGGGTTGTTTTGGCTGTGACATTTACTAGAGGATGACCCTAGATGAGTTGCTTAGCCTTTTAGATCCTGTTTCCTCCTATGTAACTCTAGCTGTGTGAAAATAACACTGGCATTGCTGTTCTCACAGGACCATCGTGAAGAAGCGCTGTGGAGGAGATTGCCATTTGACCTCTGAGGCTCATTTCAGCTCAGATCTGTAATTTTAAAATCTCCAAGGGCACTTTCAGCTTTGATATCAAAAGGCTCTGAAAGTTATTTAACTCTTCATTCCACCAAGAAGAATCGGTTAATAGCAAATATCAGAAGGTACTTCCATATGGCACCTCATTGATACAATGGACCTTAAAACCTGCCCTCCACCCCATCTTTCCTCCTCTCAGATTCTTGGGAGTCATAAAAAGATACTCACTGAGGAGGAGCTCCTGGAGGCCCCTGGTTGAAAGGCCCTGGGTTGAAGGGCCCCATTGGGCCAGCAGGACCTGGACCCCCAGGACCTGGTCCAACTGGACAGAGAGGACCCTGGTAGGAAAGGAAAACAAAGTCTGGGCTCAGTGACATTAACTGCAAGGAGACACAGGCTGTGGCCACATATAGTATTTTCCACAGCCCTATCCCCCCTGCTCCCACCTCAATCTTCTCTTCAATAAGCTGCTTGGCATGGTCAATTTGCTGAGGGGATCCCCGGATGATGAAGAGTTTGAAGTTAGGGTCCCCATTTGGTGGGAGCTGCCGAGAGATCTCCACAAAGGCGCCTGTTTGCTGATTTATGGCTTTCACATTCTCCCCACCTAAAGGAAAAGTAGGAGAGCTCTGAACATAGTTGACACAGGAAGAGGGTTTAAAAGGGAAGACAAGGCAGTGGGTAGTGACACTTACCTCTGCCAATGACTAGCCCACACTTGTGAGTTGGAATGGAGAAAGTCATCTCTCCACCAGGAGGCCCCCAGTTGCCCTGGCCTCGGCCTCTGCCTCTACCTCCAGGGGGCATGCCTGGGCCCCCGGGAGGTCCTGGGGGACCACTCTGTAAGAGATGAAGACTACATGAGTATCAGCACATCAAATGGTGATCCTAGAATGAAGCGACAGGTACTACAGAGCGGGTTCAAATCCCAGTTCCGCCCTTTATAATCCCAAGCCAATTAACTTTCCTTGGGACTTCAGTACTTCCTCATTTGTAAAATGTAGGGACTATACTATAGATGACTGCTAAAGGTCCCTGTCAGGTCTAAATCCTATGATCCTAAGAGTAGACTAACAAATGTAATACAACACAGAAAACAAAGGCTTAAACAAGTGTGACGTGATCTTTCAAGTTCCACATCTTGCAGGGTGGGGTTGGATGTTTTGGCTCCCCATTCCCCCAGGCTTCCTCCAACCCACACTTTGGGGCCTACCCTACCCTACCCTTAAGCTCTGGAGGAGGTCATTGATGATTCGGGCAGCATGCTCACACCGGTCTGGGGGTCCCATGATGTGGGCGATCTTCTCAGGGCCTGTTCCATCATCTGAAACCCAACAACAAAAAAAAGGTTCAGTTTTTAAAATAAAACCATGTGCCTGAAATAAAATGTTGTGAAAGAGGAAACTGGGTTTTAAATTAAAAGAGATAGGTTTTTCTATTTAATACACATATTACTTTTGGCAAAATTGCTTAACTTCTCTGGGTCTCCTTTAGAACTAGATAAATTCTAGGGTTCCCATCGTTTCCTACGAAATTCCTAAGAAATCTGTCTGCAATAATTTAAAAAAAAAAAAGAAAAACCTTGAAAATACGGAATTTTCAAAAACTAGAGAAGGGATATACATATTTTGACATATATAATGAAGTGACAAATATTAAAATGAAATCATAGTTAAGTCAGATAGTCAAGAAAGCAGCACCAGAACATTTACACACCATAACACAAAGAAATAGCAATAAAATAAGAAAAAGTCCAGAAGACATGAGTGCATAGAATATTTGTTCTTTTACTTAAATCCGTAACTATCCTTTAAAGACAAAAGGTAAAAAATTTGGAGCTTATGTTTTTATGTACAATTGCTTTCATCTGCACTTGGATTGTTTGCTAATGTTTACTAAGTTGAAAACAACTTTTCTTTTTAAATCCTCTCCAACACCACTTGTCGTGGAAGGCAGGGACTATGTCATTTCTGAGCCCTCCCTCTCTGGTGGTTGGCCCAGTACCATTTGCTCACTTGTAGAGATGATTGATTAGGGTATCTGATGGCAAAGCTGGAGGTCCCTGTCTCCCAGATATAACATTCACTCCTTATTACTAGGGTAGACATGGATAGTCCCACAAAAGAGAACTGGGCCAGTTAATGTAAAGCAATAACAAGTCAACTAATGGGTTCATTTTCTATCCCTGCCCCACAGCAATAACTCCGGATCTTAAACATTGCACTCCTTTCCCTAAGAAATATTAACAAGTCAGGCTAAGGGCAGTCTCAGCCCCAGGCAAATTTGCCATTCAAAGGAAGAGAGGAAATTAACTGAGAGCTAGGGTCAAGATGCAGGTGGGCAACTATTAAGCATGGACCAAGCAAATGGAGTCTACACTGGGTCATGGTGTCATGGTCCACTGTCACATGAGGAGGGAAGTTACATGAGACTTATATACTGAAGGAGAAAAAATATTCCTGGTGGAATCTGGGAGTCAAGGGCATTGCCATGCCCCCAATCTACCTCCAAATATCTGAAGAGGAAAAATATAGGAAGTCACAGAGAGACGATTTCAACCCAGCATAAGGATTTTAAATTTGATCTCTCTAAGGTTCCTTTCTAGGTCTAGGAAATAGTTTATGAGGAAACATTTTCTAATAATCTGAGCTACTTAACAATGCAACTGTTTCTAGAGATAACTGAGTTCCTGGTCACTCCAGGTATTCAAGAAGATGGATGACCACAGGTGGGATGCTTTGGAGAGTCCTGCCCTGGGTACACGCTGAACAACAAAGCCTCTATGGTTCCTTCTAACCTAGGCTCTGAGGAGCTAGTCTACACATGCAGTCTTAACTTGTTATTGGGAGTCTGACCTTGTTTGAATTGTATCCGGACACCAGCATCACTTTGTATTTTTTTGATCATTTCTCCACTCCGGCCAATGACTACACCAACAGAATGTCTGGGCACTGGCACCTGAGTAAAGGACAAGGAAAGAAAAAGCAATGTGATCTTTATGTCTATGTCTCTGCTGCCCTCTGCTGCCAGGCAGAAAGGATACCCTTAACAATACCCCCTCCCATCCCTGACCCTGGTGACCCAAGACAAAGCATTCTTACATCTATCCCACCACCAATCCGGGATCCATATTCATTCCGGTCCCCAAAGCCTCCTTGGTCACGTTCTCGGAGGATATCCATCACCATCTCACAGGCTTGCTACAACATACGTGGTACTCATAAGCAGCAGCAGGACAGAAACTGGCTCTTCCCCTAATTACATTTTTGTTCTCCCCCAAACCCCAAATCACACCAACTAGAAGACATAGCTTATCTACCGGATCCCAAAAGAATTTCACTCTGTACTCAGTTGACCCTTAACAATACTGATGGGTGGTAGGTAAAATCAGATCCTAACACAAAAGTAAAGGGAAGAGCAGGTATATAGGAAAAAAACAACTTTGCAGGGATCTAACAGCCAACTACTCCAGAGGGAAAACCCAAAATAGACTGAAACTAGGCCAGGGGACCTTTGGGGTACCAAGGCCAAAGAGCTAGGGCAATTTTTATCTTCTTACATTCAAGTAACTCTGAACTAAGGAAAATACCCAACCCTTATCCTCAGCCATGATTTTTACAAGAACCATCTCCATTGTAGCTTGAGCTCCACTTCCCCTTTACAATAGCTGCCTCCTTCTGGCCAACCCGTTTATAGCTGTTCTGTTAAAATCTCACCCCTTCAAGTATTCCTGACTGCCCTCTTTTCTTTACCTGTACTTTATAAGGGTCCCCGATAATCCGGAGAGGTTTGTCCACATTGGTATTTTGGGATCCATCCTGGATTAAAATCATCTTCACTCCAGCTCGCTCCTGTACAACCACCAATGCCATAGTTAATGATGGGCTCTTGCTCAACAGGTCAGGGCAAGGGAAAGGGCTGGCAATGTCATAGGATTCAAAACAAAAGGGTTCAGGGAAGGCTAAGTGATAAGAGGGCTCTGAGAGTCTCTGCTGAATGATGGCAAGCGATCAATGCCAAGCCCTAGAGTACCGTTCAAGGTAAACCTTCCTGAAAAAGGGGAGGGGACTAGGTCTGGAAGAGAGCTGTCCTCAGGGTCACTCTCACACCTGCAGCTGCTTAATGGTCTCCCCGCCTTTGCCAATCACCAGTCCCGCCTTCCCTGCAGGAATCATGATCTCCTGCACTGTGCCGTTCTGACCCCCATTTGAATTATCATGGAACTGTCCTGGAGGGCCACCTCTGCCCCGAGATACAATGTCATCCAGCATCATCTTTGCCTTCCTGTGGAGAGAAGAGGGATATGCTCTTATGTAGGATATGCCAATTAAGTAGTTATGTTTCCAACACTCCCTCAGCCTAAAAAATAGTTAAGCAGTATCTGTGTCTCCTGGCAAATAAAATCATCAAGCAATACAGGTGTTTAAGAGAGAGGATAGTCAGTCATTGCTGAAGTATTTGAACCAGCAAGATACAGAACTCAGGGACATCTAACACAACCATGTTCAACCATACTGACTGTTATAGGTAGGAAAAATCTAACATCCAGAAACCTTCTTGTTCTGAGTGGCAAAAAGGCCCAGAGAAACATTGTAAGGCTATCTATCCCCTTATCCCTCCCATCCCAAAAGCCACAGCAATATTCATTCTTTCATTACTCTGACAAGCCCTAAGCACGTGATCTGGATATATTACCCTCCTACAAATAGACAACAAAAACAAAGTACATACTGCACTGATTCCGGGGCTCCTGTCAGTGACACACTTCGCTCTGGTAAGCCACCACTGTCTGAAGAAGAAGAGGGACATAGAGTCAGGGACCAAGATCTCTGAAAAAAAAGAAACTTTCCCTGATCCAGGTAAAGATAGAGAAACTTTTTGTAAAACACTACAAAAGGCCTGGGGCATAAGTTTAAGCTGTGTGAGGAGTGGCTAACTGAATGACCAAAGCTCTGGGTTCTTGCTCCTTGAAATGCTTGACAATTATTCCCACAAACGGAGCCTAGAATGAAGGTTAGTAAGGTTAAGTTTGTCTGATGAAGTGGTCTTTTTCTTGGTTGTGAACCAGCCTCTGGAAGCTTTGTGGCCATACAAATTGGAATCCTAGGAGCATAGGCTTCTATGTCAGACTTCTGAACTGAATATTTGAAGGTGAAAGTAAACTGAGGAAGAGCCTGCTCTTGAGCACCCTAGGAGAACTGGGGGCAAAAACTGCTACCTGCTTTGAAATTTCTAAGACTGATTTATGGT